TCTTTTTTTGTTTGTTTATTTTTACTTTTTTTAAGGCAGGAGGGGAGGGGGAAACTGCAGAGAACTGCAATTTTTAACCCTCATGCAGCCACTTGTCCCCAGGGTGCAGGGACAGTCCCTGGGCGAGTTCAAGCCCTGGCTACACCTTTTTCCCTCCTTTTCCTTCAAAAATTTAGGATAATTGAGGACGTGGTCTAGAAGGAAGGCCATTTGCTCTCGTTGGAGAGAAATGAGGAGATCCCCATTTTGAAGGGAGGTGCCCTAAAAAACTACAGTCAGTGATTCAGTGTTTGGACTAATTGTGTTGGACTCGTGGAGATGGTGTTATTTTTTTTGCCTTCAGAGCTTTTCCTTGGTGTGACCCAGTGACATTTTTCCTATTTACTTTTTGGTGTGGTTTTTTTTTTTTTTTTAGAACCATCCTTGGTGTGAACACCTCATTTGCTCTCAGATGGTGTTTTCTCCCAAATCAGTGCACATTGTTTATTTTTAATGTTGGCATCGCGCTCTGCTCGAAAGTCCTTTTGTGCCCAAAGAAAAGTCTGGACTCGGAAATTCAAAGTGTTCTCCTTTTGGGTTGTTTTCTACCCTACAGCAGGTCTGTTTTTTAATTAAAAGATTAATACCTGGGAGTCCTGCATCACCTGGAGTTGTGCATATCTCGTGACTGAGTGGCCAATCACAACCAGACTGTAGATTTGAGCAATAATAAACACCTGCAGAGAGAACACGCTCAAAGAACAACGGGGCCCTTCTGAAATAAAGAGGTTTTTTGGAGTTTTTTTTCTTTTGTGTGTGTGAACCTTGTTAAGTAGGAGACTTGCTGAAAGTGCAGCAGGTGTGGAAAGTGTTTGCGTTGTCTGTGGGCAATAAAGTTCTGCTGTCGAAGGAATCCCTGCCCACGGTGTGTTCTCTTCAGCCTTGGAGAATCCTGGCATGGCTTGGGTTGGGAAGAACCTTGAGGGTAATGGAGTTCCAACCCACTGCCTTCCACCAGCCTGGATTGTTCCAGCCTGGCCTTGGGCACTCCCAGGGATGGGGCAGCCACAGCTGCTCTGGGAAAGCCATCCCAGGGCCTCCCTCCCAGGGAAGGATTCCTTCCCAGTGTCCCTCTGGCAGGGGGAAGCTGTTCCCCCTTGTCCTGCCCCTCCAGGCCCTTATCCAGGGTTTCCATCTGTGCCTTGGGAACTGGGAGCATATCCTGGGGACTGGGACCATATCCTGGGGACTGGGACTGCATCCTGGGGACTGGGACCATGTCCTGGGGACTGGGACCAGGTCCATTCCCTGTGTTCCATGAGTATTCCCTGTGTTCCCTGTCCTTTCCCTGGTGTCACACACTGATGGGCTGGTCTGAGGGAACCTCCCCCCCCCCTAAGTTGGGAAAACCCTTAATGGCAGCAACCAACCTTTATAAAGTTTTGTCAATCCCTTTGTGTTTGACAGACAGGTGTCAGCCCTGAAGCTGTGCAGTTTGTTAGAGATCCCCCCCTAACGGAGAATTCCAGAAATCCAGCTGGGATCGGACTGCAGGGAGGTTCCAACTGCTCAGGGATCGAGGCCGAGTCGCTCGATTAACAACCCCCCACCCACCCACCCCGTGGCCTGTCTGTGGGAACAGGTGATGCTTTAATTTTAGGAAAACATACTCTGCATTTTTATGTCTTTTGTTCCACAGGGTCTTTTTTTCCCTGAGACTTAAAAAAAAACCACCAAAAACCTGATAAACTGAAAGGATTCTTCAACTCTGTTTGAAGTTTCACGTTCAGAAGTCGCCTTTAATAACTGCCAGAGAGCAGATCCGGCTGTTACTGCCACAGAAATCAAGGATCATGAAGTGGGAGATGAGGATTTCCAAGCCCCACCTCCTGAGGAGGCAGCAACCAGAAACCTGTGGACAGAGAGGATCTTGATTTAAGGCCGGATTTGCTCTTCTCCTCTTTGTCTTCTTGGTTTGGAGCCTCTAAAAGGGTCTAAAAGAGCACAGAAACCAGCTCAAAAAAAAAAAAAAAAACCCACAGAACAGCTGGTTTGGGAATCCAGCCCTGGATTCCCTCAGAGGGAGCAGCAGGGGGAGAAATCAGCCACCCAAATACACCCGTTTGGTCTTCCCAGATCAATCCCGCGTGCCAGTTTGGGTGGGAGTCACACACCCCCAGTGGAAGCTGCAATGAGCCTTCCACAAACAAAGTTACCCCTTCCTGCTCCTGAAACACAAAAATCCCTTCTCCAGGCCCCCTTTTCCACAGGGCAGAACCACCGGAACGAATTTCTTACCAGAACGGGCACTGATCCACTTTTATGTAACGCTGGGGTTGCCCAATTACAGAAATTAATCCTTCAGCAGCTAATAATACTTAGCACTCCGTGCTTTCACCTTCAGCCTGGCTGCTTAATCTACGAATAGCAACTAATTAAGTCTCCCGGTGCCCCCCGGGGCTGCTGCTCTCCTCGTTTTACACGGGAGGTTAAATTACTTGTCACTGTCCGTGGCAGGATTGGTGTCAGAGCTGCTGCTTTGTTAGAAGCTCCTGAGTCATCTCCCTGTGTTTTCTCTCCCTCTGTTTTCTCCTCCTTTCCCTTTATTTAGGCTTACACACACACACACATTTCTTTTCCCTTTAAATGTGTTTTTTTTGTTGTTTTTTTCTTTTTTGCAGTGCATCTTCCTCTGTCCAGAGCTGTCAGCAATCAGCTCAAAAAGCTTCCTCCTTGCTCGGGATTTATTCCCAAGGTGTGGCCAGAACTCGGACGTTGCAGCTCCCTCTGCTAAAGGCCCTTCAAAGTTG